GTGCATAATTAAACAGCCATATTGAGAGATCTTGCTGACGTGCTGCTCGATGGCGCCCCCTGTTGGCCAGGGAGGGCTGCAGTCTTACCTTTCAGCCTCTGGATCTCTGTCATCTGGGCTGTGACATCATTCTGCAGCTTCATCTGTGAGGAGAGAAAAACACATTCAGGAATCTAAGCAGCTGAGAAACTCTTGTGCAGCTAAAAAGCAGTTCAACAAACGTGTGCAACCAACTAAATTGTGCAGCTGGTTGCTGTCATTAGATGACAACGTTAATGGCAGGAAAACCGGGGGAACACGTATGTTCTGTTCTTTGTGCTTCACAGCAGAGTGGTGCATTCCTGGTAATCTGGACTGAGATCTCAGGCTTGTCACGGACATGAAACTGAAGCAGAATCCAATCCAACAAAACTGTTTCTATGTCCCAGGATGTGTTTGTTTCTGTTGTAATGAAATGTACAGTCGGATGCATAAACTGTTGAAGGGCCGCAGGAGCAAGTAAATGAAGGAATGAGGTAGAAGGGAAACCCGGACGCTAAAGCTCTAAACTCCTGTTGAGCATCAAACGCTTGTAGTGGCATCCAGACCACAGCAGCTACGGCTATCTTCAATAATGTCCACCCTGATGAAAGCAAGTTTACAAAAAAAAGCATCAGAGTCCACAAAGCCTGCAGCTTCACTGGGAGGCAGAATGATTGTTCAGACGACAACGAGCACAATCTGGGGCTGAGATTTGGGAAAAGAACAAAAAAAGGCATGTCGCCGTCTCTGAGGAACACGATCACAGCTGCTGTACCAACAGACAGGAGGAACGTGGATTACACAGCAGGAGAACGCTACAGATGTTCCCTCTTTCCCTAAAACGGGTCATCCCTCCGAGTGTTGAATGAGTTGTGATGGAGGAGGAGGAGGAGGGCAGCAGGAGCACACAGGAAACACAGCATCAGACTGAACTGCAGTCGAGGCCCAAGCTTCATCCTGTTACACCCTCACTAGTGGTTAATGGCTTCCCAGTGCCGCCTGCTGGAACCCACTCTGTGGAAAACACAACCCAGTCGGGCTGCTTACAGACTGAATGAAGAGCAAACCACGAGCTGCATCGTATGTGCACCAGACCATCCACGCTGGGACATGTGGACGCCATTTAACACTCAACCGTCAGGCGTCTCTGCATTGCAGGACTGTGGCTGCGTGAAGCTGCATTTCTGGTCCGACAGGGCCGGGCTGTTGACAGAACAAAGGAGTGGAACAAGTGCTATTCAACACCTGCTTTGATCCTGATTACGGGAACAAAGACCCGGATGCTTCAATTTACACACGAGCCAGAAAAAGAGGAAGCGTGGATTCTTCCTGATGCCACGCTTCAACTATTCTCAACCAAACAACTTAGAAAACTCAGCACGAGTCACGTTTTCACTCTCACACAAACGCTATCTGCCAGGAGGTGAAACAAGATGAATAAATGTGCAATAGGAGCAGCCAGGTTCGGTTTGTGGGGAGTGAAGTAGCCGACAGGAAGCTGAACAGGAGGCAGTGTGCTGCAGAGCCATTGTCCTGCTCTGATTTGATTTGGCCTCAGAACCGGGGATCCAGCAGCACAGTGTGCTCAGAATCATCTGAAAAGAACCTCCTCATGAGGCTGACGGCTGCCTCTCGCTGCTAAATCATCCATTCAACGTTACTTGTAGTCTAACAGGTGTTCGCCTCCAAACAGGACCGGCTGCTTTAAATCTGCTGGTTGGTTGAGCACGAGGATCCGTCGGGTTCATGTCTTTATGAGGCCTTTTAGCGGCAGCGTTATCTGGAGCAGTTACTGGTGTCTCCTCTCAAGAAGCTCGGACAAAGTTTTACTTCAAGCACAGCTTATCAGCAAATGTTGAGCAAGAACTCCACGGCGTTCCCCGGACCTGAACACATGTGTACAAGCTGTTCCTTATCAGCAGGTCGTGGTACATTAACCAACTCTGGATCACATTTTAAAGTCAACCTCTGCATCTCCTCAAAGTCTCACAGCTCCTGAGACGTCATGCCCAACGCGTCCCAGCTCAGCTCAGCTGGATGGAGGCTGCATCTGCTCAGTGCTGGTCATCACCAGACCACCACAGCACCAGACCACACGCACCAGTTAAACCAGTCATGCCTCTGCTTTGCAAGTCAGGCTGGATGCAAATGAGAGGAAACCTTCAGCCTGTCTGTTGTCCAGGCGTCTCCCGGGGCAGCTGGACGCACACCAGAGTTCAGAGGGTGCCGGGACACAAAGCCAGCGAGGTGCTGGCTGGACCACGGCTCCGGACAGGAGCCGGGTCGGCCTGGTGGAGCATGCTGATGTACTGATCAAATGAATAAAAACAGCAAAGCAACACGAGGAAGCTCAGCTCAGTTTCTTTTCTTTGCGGCTGTGATTAGCGCCGTTAGCTCTGAGCTCGCTGTGGTTTATGGACACGTGGCCTTTAAACCACTGAAATGGATCTAATGGTATAAAACAATCGAGCAAAGTGAGTCATTAATAGTCGACCTGAAGTCGGCTCTGTGTGGAGTAAATACGGACTTCCTGGGTTTAGTCTATGGTTTTGGAAAGAGGATCAACCAAGAGCCCATGCTTCAGATCCAGCACTGATTAATGCACCGGATCCACGATGTACAGGACGTCACCCACACCTGAAAGGCGTCGGCGCTGTCTGCCACCACCGTTATATAATGCTCAGCTACAGCGCACCAACGTGGAGCTCAGATGAAGGTGGATGAATGAGTTTCTGGCCAAGGACAAGTCGCACGCATCATCTGATGCTTCACACGAAACAATTCAAGAAGAACAGCTGATCAGCTGGCTGAAGGAAGACAGAGTTCATCCTGATCTAAGGCGAGGACATGAGAGCAGCACAACAGCTGTGATGCTCTGATGCTGCGTCCGGTCCGCCTGGCTTCACATCCGGCTGCCTGTTTGCTCTGGGAGAGAACACGACTCCCGCCTCCTAGTTCAACACGGCGGGAGATGAAGTCGAACCGAAAACACAGCCGACGATTAACAGTGTTCAGAACTCTACGGTGACACCTGATGCAGGTGTATATATAGGTGTGTATATATAGGTGTGTGTATATATATATATATATAAAAATGTTGTCTTGTTTAAAAACGGTGAAAATCTGGCAGCAAGCAAAATATGTGAAGAAACAGTGAAATACTTAAAACACTTAAATGGAAAATTATATATTATTATTATTATTATTATCATTATTTTAAAATTATATATTTATCTGAACTAAATACAGTAAAACTATGATTTAAAAGAACATGTTACAATTTGTACCAATATTTAAAAACACTGGACATGATGCACAGATCTGGTCTGGGTTTGTTTTTCCTTTTTACAGTCAAAGTCTAAATTATTATTTAGTTGTTTTTTGTTATTGTTTTTTTTGGTGATTTTACAAGATATTGACAGAAAGCTTAAGTTTATTTTAAATCTGTAAAATAATTGATAATAAAGAGGATTTTCCCGTCCTTAATATAATTTTAGTTTCAAATAACAGCAAATAATGAACTTTTTGCTAACTTAAATACAGCAAACTTGTCTAATATTACAATCAAATGTCATTAAAGAACAAACTACCATTTATTTTAATTTTAAAAATGATGTGGGTAATTTTTACAGGTTTTTCTTTTTCCCCATTTCATATGTAAATTAAATCATTTCTTCCATGACCTCCTAGATATTATCTGTATTTTAGTAAAACAGGAAAAATCAGTGAAATACCAGAAAAAGCATTTACCACTTTTCTAATATACTTTTTTTTTTCTTTTAAATAGCAGCAGATATGTGAAAATAACAGACTGAGTTAATAAGATGACAGGAACCAAGTATGACTGTAAAAAGTCTGGTTTTTGATGTGGATGTCTTTTACAGTTTTAGCCTTTTTAAAAAACGCATCACGTGTAAATTAATACTTTTTCTGTAATTTTACTAGATGTTCTGATATCATCTGTAATTTAGCAGCACGTGGTGAATCTATGAAAAACATCTCAGGTCTTCTAAACCAGCTGAAGCATGTCTGTGTGGTCTGGTTCTGCTCAGACTGGTCTGGTACTGGGTTTATGTGTGGACATGCGGACTGGGAGCCTCCTGCTGCCCCACAGCTCCACTGAGCTCCAGCCCATCCTCACTACCTTCTCGTCGGTGCACTTCTTGATGAGCGTCTCTCGGGCCTGCAGCTTGCCCTCCAGGACGCTGTAGTCTCCATCCTTCTGGTCGATCTGCTTCCTGTGCGTGTCCACCTGCATGATCAGCTCCGAGTTGCGCTTCTCCAGGCGGCTCCGCGCCGCGTCCGTCCGCTTCACCTGCGTCTGCACCTCCGCCAGCTCGTCCAGCAAGCGGCCGTGCTTGTTGGACACCGTCCAGTAGTTGAACGACAGGATGGCGATGATCACCGTCAGGAAGATGAGGATGAAGGACGGGAGGCGGCCTCCCCGGCGGTTTGCACCAAACCCGACCATTTCTGAAACCAAGTGTAACGCTACTTCAGCTCGTTACCGCAGCCTACTGACAGTATTCTCCCGGTGTAACGCACATCCGTCTACGTGACATGCCGTGGATATGCGGCAACCGTTCGCGAAATCAAACGCCAGCCCGACAGTCATGAATGTCAGAAAGGCGTCTTCACATCTCCGCCGAGCGTCACTCTCCGTCCTCCTTCCGCACACTGGGCATCTTCTCCGCAGCCCGTCCGGTGTGAGAGGGTGAAATCCGCCCGCGGGGACGTGGCCTAGCTCAGCTGGCAGCGGTACACGGCCGACGAGACGCGACGTGGACGCGGCGCCGTGGCGCTGACGGGAGCTAATGAGCGGAGCTAATGGACCCGCGGCTCGCTGCGCTGCTAGCCTGCTGCTAACGTTTGATGTGTCTGATAAATCCTACGGGAGCTGCACCCCCCGACGCCCGGAGCTCGTCTAATCACCGGATCTCCGTCCGATGATGATCCCGACCTGCCGTTCCGGTTAGCTCCCGTTACCGTCCAGCTAACCGCCTGACGCTCACACTAGCTAGCAGCCGGAGAGGAGAGGACATCACCGGCTGCTGTCAGCCTCCGGTAGCGTCTCTCTCTCTGTCTGCTCTCACGGAGGACGGATGTGGTCCCTCCAACACAACGAACCGGATCCGAGCAGCACCGTGGACGCGGACTTGGTACCACACACTGTCCACGACTCACTGCCCACCAAACATCATATCTGCGCGGCGTCAAGTCAGCGGCAAACACTCCCCGCTACCGGACATGCGCAAGTGCGTTTCAAAATAAAAGCCCAAAAGTTAGCAGCGCAAAGAAAGCACGGCATTGGTTCTCACGTTGGAATTGCTTATAGCTTTGCTTGATGTGAGCGACTTATGCTGCACATGTAGGATCTATATTTCTGCCCCTAATGACGAGCAATCATCGGTCACAAGGTGAACGCAATGAACCTGCTCGAAAATACTTTGATAAATATTCACTGGATACCGGAAGCGCATGGCTCACTTGCAGGACGTGTTACAGTTGTACAGGGTGTGTGGTTGAAATAAAGGTCCCAGTTTTCAGCGTTTAGCCTCCTCACGCCGTGTGCTGTAAACATGAGCAAGTGAGATGTGCCTCAGAAAAAAAAAAAGGAAAGCACGAACAGAAATCAACATGTGGAGCCTGTAATGTGATTCACAGCCCAGTCCTGTCTTCATGGAATGAATGACATTTACTTTAAGATTGCAAACAGCCTGATTTTGTTTAAAAATGTATTAATGCACACGTTCACCCCCATAGTCCCTGTCAGCAGCCACAGACTGTGGATGCCTTCTATGGTGTGTCAAATCAAATCTCACCTGCTGGAGGAATGTGTCCAATCACACCATGATATAATCCGTATTCACCAACTCACTCATAATGCACTCCACCTTTTAAACTTTAATCTACAGCTGGAAAACTACCAGTCTGTCAGTCTGAACAGGATGACCTTCACGTTGTTGTAGCGTGAGGACCAGGTCCCTGGATAGTAAACAATCAACCAACAGCTTCAGCATCACTAGTTTGATTCAGTTACCTTCACCTAATTGACATTTCTGTCAGGGCTGTGTTTTCTGGTTGAGCTGATGAAATGTGCAAAACATAAATAATCCAGAAGTCCTTGCAGAAATAAGAACACAAACCACAATATAGAAATGCATATTTTATTGTAACACTGAAAAGAATCGTAACACAATGAGGTAAGTTAAATAATCCACATCTGTGATGTTCTCGAACCACAAAATATTCACCACCCGATCCGCAACAACTCCACAAAGTCTGCAAACAACGGCTAGCAATGCCCTGTCAGTTCAGTTCACAGTTTAATACAAACACGTCGTCTCTGTTTCTTATGAGGACAAGAGGAATACTGAAAACACAATCTCCTTTGTCTGTCAGCCACAGATCCAAACTTACCAGCTGTGTATTTGTTTCTGTTTTTTTTTTAAGAGATGAAACTCAGTAGAAAAGATCCCCTGAGGGAGAAACATTCTTTTGTTTTTCTGATGAGAAAGAAGCCACTACAGACACTGGCAGGCTCAGTCTGAGTTTGCTACCATTTCTGCTGATGACTTGGCACGGTCTCACAGGGCACTAGGAAATACAGTTTGACAGCATTTCAGTTGCTTTGTGCTGCAGCCACACTGTGCAGAACGTGATCTGGTGACGCCTGAAGAGTTAATAAACAGCCCGCAGACACCAGCAGCACAGGACAGCGTGTCTGCAGCACCAGCACCCTGGAACGCCCTCAGAGTTTCGACCCGAGTCCTTGTTGGGAGAGTGGTCAGAGAATAGTTTCTTTGCACTCAAGGCTTTGTTCAGAGGAAGGGGAGCCCAGTGGGTTGGTGGAGGCGCTGGTTGTTTGTGGGAGATGTTTTGGACGGCGCATGGAAGGGGACGGGGATGAACTCAGAGCACCGCAGCTCTGGAGGTGAAGGTCCTCGTGGCCGCGCTTCCTGGGGCTGCCTATGATGCGCTGGGTCATCACCTGGAGACACAGAATCACCAGGAATCAAACAGAGGACGTGCTGCCACCCATCGGCCATGTTGGCTGAGATACAGTTAAAGTCTCCACAAACATCAGCCGCACTGACGAAGGAGATAAATGTGTTGAGCTGCACTTTACTGTCGCAGGACATGAATCCAAACAAACCAAATATCAGTTTACGTCCTAGAGGAGCGATAACATGAGACACTGTAGGGTTTCCATCACTTCTCCTGTTTTCATGCTGTTGTCATTACAAATTACAAATACGCTGATTTATTTTCCATCAAAACAAACTAAACTATGTCTGCTGTGAATTTCCTACTATCTGAAACGTAAAGGAACCTAAAGGTGCACATCATGACAAGTCTGGCCTCTTAACTTATTAACAGGTATTTTATCAATTAACAAATAATTATTATTGGATCATGATAATCTTATTCTGTCTCATTTTAAACCTTTTCAGAAAACGGTGGCCTTTCATCGGTGCAACTCTCAAGCCAACAACAGAAAAACAAAACAGTTTCCTTCCCAGTGAGTAAAGGCCGTCGCAGTCGCTCAGAGTCTTTAACACGATTTGTCCAATTTGATCATTGCTCACCAACAACCGTTAAAACCAGAGAAGGTCTACACTTCTCCACATCGCTTTCAGGTATTATTAATCCACTTACCTGATCTATGACGTTGGCACTAAAGATGGCCTCTTCCATGTGTTTCTCGTCCGACTTGATGACGCACTTGATGTTGTTGACGACCTGCTGGACTTCAGGAGGTAGACTGCAGCTTGAGTGCTCCAGGAACTTGGCCACTAATATTTTGGTGTCTTTGTACATCTTCAGGTCAGCCAGAGAGTGCGGGCGTTCGTGGGAGGAGTGGGTGTGGAGAGACCGGGGTTTCAGGTGGATGTCGACTCTCCTGCCCTCCTTCTGCTGCTTCCTGACGCTCGTCTGACTGGGTTTAGCTCCCACTGTCTCTGCTGAAGCGTCTCTGGGCTCTGAAGATAAAACATACAGGTCTTAAAATCAAGGTTGATGATTTGCTTTGTGACAGAAACAATAAATCCTGTTTGTTTCAGAGAAGTTTGTCAAAGTGGTTTGTGGCTTTTGAAGACGTCCGGTTTGTCCTTCAGGTCAAACGTTTTGGATGTCTGATAACATAAATGCTTTATTTGAGTGTTCATACCCTGGTCTGGTGATGTGTGAGCTGAATCCTCAGCAGCAGGGTTACTTCCAGAGGTGCAGCCACAGTTTTCTCCTGTAGAGGGAGACAAAGCCTCAGTATGGACCAACAACAGAGGCTGTTCTCACAATGAAAGGATGCAGGACGGACGCCACTGATGCTTCATTTCATTACCAATAAATCAGACAGTAATTTTTTTATTACTTGATCCCTTGATTAATCTATAAAAGGTTTAAAAAATGCAATAATTGTGCTTTCAAATGTCTTGATTTATCCAGTCAACAGTCAAAATCCCATCAACAGTCAGTTTAAGGTGATGTAAAAAACAAACAGAGCCAATCAGGAATCTAAACACGTCTCATCACTTGTGATTAGATGGCCTATTACAGATGCCGTGTGAACCTTGTGTAGCATGTCTGCAGCACTTACTCCCTGTCGTAGTGGAGCAGGAGATTGGGTCGCTGGTGGACCGGACGATGCGAGCCAGTTTTCGGTACCTCCTGGCTGCTCGGAGCCCTCGAGGCCTGTCTGAGGGCGAGTGGCCGCTTTGGGCTGAGGTAGAGGGAGGCTGCGACGCGGAGGAGGGCGACCAAACACTGAAGCACAGCCTGGGGCCGCGAGGCCTGCTGGGAGGCGAAGGGGAGGGAGAAGGAGCCAAAGGGCTGATCGCTGAAGTCCCACCAGAGGAGGCCACGGAGGTGGGGGAGCAGGGCTGAGGCGGTGGGGGGATGGTGACCGGCAGCGTCAGCTTCCGGCTCATCATCCGTGCTTTAATGAGGGCGTGTGTGGATGCTTTAGGTGGCTCCTCTGGTAAATGTTTGGCCGAGGCCAGCTCATCGCATATATGCATTGCGGCCCTGAGTTCCTCACATGGATGTGTGTTCTCTGTAGAATCCTCCTGGTCCAGATTGCTAAAGTTTCCCGAGGACCAGTCCGGCGAGCGCTCCAGGGACTCCTGTGTGTGCGACGACTCGCTGTAGCCGGTGTCACTGGGGCGAGCGTCGGTGGTGGGCAGGCCGCGATGGCAGCGCGACGAACCTCGTGTGCAGAGCTCCAGGCTGGTGCAGCTTCCGTCGGTGGGGGCGGTGTGGAGCGTGCCGTAGGGGGAGGAGTCCGAGCCCTGGACCTCCAGGGAGCACAGGTCCTCCGAGGAGCAAGTCTGGTCCTGATCGGCCACCTCTGACACCATCAGGGACGCACTGTCCACCGAGGCTGTAAGACAGAGGAAAAAGTAGAAACTGGTTGACTCCGAGCTGAAAAGGACCTTCAGCTCATCTGCAAACGCTCCGACTGGCCTCACCCTGAGTGCTGAGGCCCGCGGTGGTGTTCCTCTCACACAGACTGGACTCGGTGGCCTGCTGGTCTATGCTGGTGGTGACCTGTAGAGAAGAAGTCGTTGGACAAACAGCGCTGCTGAATAAACATGTACTGTATGTATTGCATAACAGCTGTGTGGCGCCTAACCTTCAGTACCTCTGATCGGTCTGTAGGGGGCTCTGTCACATCACAACTCACTCATTTCTCATTTTAAAGGGCAGAGGTGCCAGAGCAGAAAACTACAGCAGCGTGTAGAGCTGAATAAGACACTTTAATTAGCCTCACTAATGCCCTTTTCAAACGCAGTATATGACACGTATGAGTTGGTATAACTTTGCTGTGCAGGTCTCACGCCTGAAGCCGTCAGCTGACTCTCCTCTGCCCTCCAACTGTTCCCTCACACAGCCCATCGATCGCTGCCAGCTCACATTAGGGCTTTTTCACAGAACCTGCTGCTCGTCTGTTTCAGGTGAGAAAACCTTCTGTTGATTCCTGTTTGAGGGAAACTGTTTAAAATAGACATGAGGAGAGCTGCAGATTTAACGTGTATAATGGGACGGCGGATGGAAAGCCTGAGGTGTTAAATGATGTTGAGAACACAATCGTAGAAGATAAAAGGACTCCTTGCACATGACACAGCTATTTTTAGAGTCCAACAGTGAGATGCAGCGAAAGCTTTAGCCTGAAAAAACAGCAGCTCTGATCACTCTGACAGTCAAAGCAGCTGATGATGCTCGGCTTAAATGTGCAGAGTTTTACTTCCAGAGTTGACAGGTAACATCCCAAAATACAGGAACGAGTCGAAGACTTTGCTCCTGACAACTATTAAATAAATATGTGCTCTGGTAGCCTTAACCCTTTATCCTTCAAACACTTGGAACATGAACATTTCAACCTGAGGGTGTGACTGAAGGATGTTTCAAGATATTTTTACTTTATTTTTTTCTTTTCCATAAGGTAGTGATATTGGCACTAATATAAAACTGAATCAAAGTGGACGTGGTTCTTCAGCCCAAGGAGAGGCTCAGGGTGGACACGTCCAAGGAAGGTACCAGATATGGTCACGTGGTCCATAAAGGGTTAAGTTAAACACACACATCACTAACTTGAGCTAAATATCTGGTCAAATGGACTTTTTCTGATCAGATCTGTGCTCTATAGAAACACACGATTCACACACCCGGCTGTCTATTAACCCCGACCTCCACTTGTCTTTGAAGGTTATCTCATTAAAAATTTTCATCACTTCAATTATTCACTGAATGGCTGAATTTTTAAAAGCGGCGCACATCCGACCATCTGCTTTAACAGAAATAAGAAGTGATTAGAAACTGTTAGAAGAATATTTAATCTTTACCTCGTGAGTTTAGGATTTTACTGCTCATTTGGTAATCAGCTGAACCCTCTGCGGGTGTTTTGAGGCCAGAGCTGTTTGTGATTCCTCACCTGGCTGGCCGGGGTCTGACCCACCACCGACTCATACGGCGGGGGCAGGTCCGTTGGGTAGAGCGTCCCCGGGCTGTTGATGGGAACCCCATAGATGGCACTGAAGGGAGAATGAGGGAAGTCCAGGTGCAGGCCTCTGCCAGGGACATGAAGCAGAACTCCATCAGACAACAAACCAAACTGAAGTCACATCTCTGATAACTGGAATGAGAAGACTGGAGGTGTTGAAGGAACTGGTGCAGCCAGCGTGGATATCTGGGTCAAAAATATGCTCCTGTCTATTAAAACATTTAGAAAGAAAGGATGAAAGGCATCCTCTTGTCTCCTCCGACACTCCAGTCCGGTATCGGCGCCGCTGCGTTATTCCACGTGCACCGCCGCTGCTTCATATGCTGCCAATTAAGAACAAGCAGCCATGCGTGCTGTCATATCTTTTAATTACAACCCCATTCTCCTCTAAAGTGGCAGAGCATGAAATACAACCTGAGAGTTTCCACCAATCATCAGCGGCATGATGATGTCATGACACATCCCTGGCCCCGAGCAGGGACGCCGTAAATGCTTCCTCTGCCTTGTATATATTTATGGCATAATTGACAAACAGATGGGGCTTCCTGCCAAATGACTACAGCAGCAGCAGCACTCTGTGGCCGAGGAGGTGGAGGGAGGGATGAGGGAGGGCTCGACTGGATCTCCACCGACAGCTGACAGTCCAGGATGGATGATAATAAAAACATGAAGTGGCGACAGTGAGGAGGGAAAGCAGGCACTTTGTTTAACATGATGTGTTTGTATTCACCTCTAAGAGGAGATTCTGGAGCGGTTTACATCTAAATGTTGAACCTGACTCTGTGGCTTTATGCTGATGCTGGAACACACCACAGCTCCTCCTAAACTCACCGTCCTGT